TCTGTCCATTGGTGAAAGTGGGGTGTTGAAGTCCCCTACTATGAATGTGTTACTGTCGATTTCCCCTTTTATGGCTGCTAGTTTTTGCCTTATGTATTGAGGTGCTCCTATGTTGGGTGCATAAATATTTACAATTGTTATATCTTCTTCTTGGATCGATCCCTTAATCATTATGTAGTGTCCTTCTTTGTCTCTTCTGATAGTCCTTATTTTAAAGTCTATTTTGTCTGATATGAGAATTGCTACTCCAGCTTTCTTTTGGTTTCCATTTGCATGGAATATCTTTTTCCATCCCCTTACTTTCAGTCTGTATGTGTCTCTAGGTCTGAAGTGGGTCTCTTGTGTATTTAGGTGCTCCTATGTTGGGGGCATAAGTATTTACAATTGTTATATCTTCTTCTTGGATCGATCCCTTAATCATTATGTAGTGTCCTTCTTTGTCTCTTCTGATAGTCCTTATTTTAAAGTCTATTTTGTCTGATATGAGAATTGCTACTCCAGCTTTCTTTTGGTTTCCATTTGCATGGAATATCTTTTTCCATCCCCTTACTTTCAGTCTGTATGTGTCTCTAGGTCTGAAGTGGGTCTCTTGTAGACAGCATATATATGGGTCTTGTTTTTGTATCCATTCAGCCAATCTGTGTCTTTTGGTGGGAGCATTTAGTCCATTTACATTTAAGGTAATTATCGATATGTATGTTCCTATTCCCATTTTCTAAATTGTTTTGGGTTCGTTATTATAGGACTTTTCCTTCTCTTGTGTTTTTGTCTAGAGAAGTTCCTTTAGCATTTGTTGTAAAGCTGGTTTGGTGGTGCTGAACTCTCTCAGCTTTTGCTTGTCTGTAAAGGTTTTAATTTCTCCATCAAATCTGAATGAGATCCTTGCTGGGTAGAGTAATCTTGGTTGCAGGTTTTTCTCCTTCATCACTTTCAGTATGTCCTGCCTCTCCCTTCTGGCTTGTAGAGTTTCTGCTGAGAGATCAGCAGTTAACCTTAAGGGGATTCCCTTGTGTGTTATTTGTTGTTTTCACCTTGCTGCTTTTAATATGCTTTCTTTGTATTTAGTTTTCGACAGTTTGATTAATATGTGTCTTGGCGTATTTCTCCTTGAATTTATCCTGTATGGGACTCTCTGTGCTTCCTGGACTTGATTAACTATTTCCTTTCCCATATTAGGGAAGTTTTCAACTATAATCTCTTCAAATATTTTCTCAGTCCCTTTCTTTTTCTCTTCTTCTTCTGGAACCCCTATAATTCGAATGTTGGTGCGTTTAATGTTGTCCCAGAGGTCTCTGAGACTGTCCTCAGTTCTTTTCATTCTTTTTTCTTTATTCTGCTCTGCAGTAGTTATTTCCACTATTTTATCTTCCAGGTCACTTATCCGTTCTTCTGCCTCATTTATTCTGCTATTGATCCCATCTAGAGTATTTTTCATTTCATTTATTGTGTTGTTCATCATTGTCTGTTTCATCTTTATTTCTTCTAGGTCCTTGTTAACTGCTTCTTGCATTTTGTCCATTCTATTTCCAAGATTTTGGATCATCTTTACTATCATTATTCTGAACTCTTTTTCAGGTAGACTGCCTATTTCCTCTTCATTTGTTAGGTCTGGTGGGTTTTTATCCTGCTCCTTCATCTGCTGTGTGTTTTTCTGTCTTCTCATTTTGCTTATCTTACTGTGATTGGGTTCACCTTTTTGCAGGCTGCAAGTTCGTAGCTCCCGTTGTTTTTGATGTCTGTCTCCAGTGGCTAAGGTTGGTTCAGTGGGTTGTGTAGGCTTCCTGGTGGAGGGGACTAGTGGCTGTGTTGTGGTGTATGAGGCTAGATCTTGTCTCTCTAGTGGGCAGGTCCACGTCTGGTGGTGTGTTTTGGGGTGTCTGTGGACTTATTATGATTTTAGGCAGCCTCTCTGCTAGTGGGTGGGGTTGTGTTCCTGTTTTGCTATATGGTTGGCATAGGTTGTCCAGCACTGTAGCTTGCTGGTCGTTGAGTGAAGCTGGGTGCTGGTGTTGAGATGGAGATCTCTGGGAGATTTTCGCCGTTTGATATTATGTGGGGCTGGGAGGTCTCTTCTTGACGAGTGTTCTGAAGTTGGCTCTCCCACCTCAGAGGCAGAGTCCTGACTCCTGGCTGGAGCAGCAAGAGCCTTTCATCCACTCGGCTCAGAATAAAAGGGAGAGAAAGTAGAGAGAATTAGTAGAAGTAGGAGGAAATAGGAAAGAAAGAAAGAAAGAAAGAAAGAAAGGAGGGAAGGAAGGAAGGAGGGAAGGAAGAAAGAAAGAAAGAAGAAAAGAAAGGAAGAAGGCAAGAAGGAAAGAAAGGAGGGAGGGAGGGAGGAGGGAAGGAAGGAAGGAATGAGGGAAGGAAGGAAAAAATACAGAAAGAAAGAAGATACAGTAAAATAAAATAAAGTATAATAAAGTTATTGAATTAAAAAAATAATTATTTAGAGAAAAAAAAAAAGGGAAGGATAGAACCTTAGGACAAATGGTGGAAGCAAAGTTATAGAGACAAAATCTTACATAGAAGCATACACATATACCCTCACAAAAAGAGGTAAAGTGGAAAAAATCATAAAACTTGCTCTCCAAGTCCACCTCCTCAATTTGGGACGATTCGTTGTCTCAAAAAGGGAAGGAAGGAAGGAAAGATAGAAAGAAGGTAAAGTATAATAGAGTTCTTTAAATTAAAATTAATTATTAAGAAAAAAATTTAAAAAAAAAAAAGATCGGATAGAACGCTGGGACAAATGGTGGAAGCAAACCTATACAGACAAGATCTCACACAGAAGCATACACATACACATTCACAAAAAGAGGAAAAGGGGAAAAAATCATAGATCTTGCTCTAGAAGTCCGCCTCCTCAATTTGGGATGATTCGCTGTCTATTCATGTATTCCACAGAGGCAGGGTACATCAAATTGATTGTGTAGCTTTAATCCGCTGTTTCTGAGGCTGCTGGGAGAGATTTCCCTTTTTCTTCTTTGTTCTCACAGCTCACAGGGGCTCAGCTTTCGATTTGGCCCCGCCTCTGCGTGTAGGTCGCTGGAGGGCGTCTGTATTTTGCTCAGGCAGGAAGGGGTTAAAGGAGCCGCTGACTCGGGGGCTCTGGTGCACTCAGGCCGGGGGGAGGGAGGGGCACGGAGTGCGGGGCAGGCCTGCGGCGGCAGAAGTCGGAGTGACGTTGCACCAGCCTGAGGCTCGCCGTGTGTTCTCCCTGAGAAGTTGTCCCTGGATCCCGGGAACCTGGCAGTGGCGGGCTGCACAGGCTCCCCGGAAGAGGGGTGGGCATAGTCGCCTATGCTCGCAGACAGGCCCCTTGGTGGCGGCAGCAGCACCCTTAGCGTCTCCCGCCCGTCTCTGGAGTCCGCGCTTTTAGCCG